ATCCCTGTATATCAGCTTTCCTAGCTGAAAAATGGAAAATATGATTTAAAATCACAGCCCCACAGTGCACTGGAAATATAAATGCATTAGTATCTGTGAAGTATTTGGAAGACATTGCTGAGTTGAAGGTATTATTTCAGAAAGAAGCAAAATGATTTCACAATTTTAATATAAACCTGCCTTTGCTAATTCTGTTTTCTGCTTTTATGACATTTCTCCTCTTCTGTAGGTAAAGAATCTGTTGTACTAAATCCATTTAAATGATTGTCCCCTGCATATCAATCCTAACCCAGCAATGAATTATTGTATCTTACAAAAAATAATGTTAAATGGCAGAATCCCAACAATCAGGACAGATTTACTTCACACTTACTGTGCAGTCATTACAATGACCTTGCATTTAAACTATCTCACATTTTAGGAAAAAAAATTAAAAGAAAAAAACATTAAAAAAATTAGCAAGAGACCTCAGACTGAAGCACCTAGAAAGGCTTTCAAAATTAAGTCTGAGTTCAGCAGCTCTGGGAATGAACTTCTCCTGTCAGCTTTTGTGAATAAGTTTTTCAAGTCTCTCAGATACTAAAAGAGTTTCTCCTTCCATCACCACTCTCTGGGGTGCCCCCATATGGGTCATGCCCAGGTTTATCCTACTAGAGAGCTTACTCTGACTCACTCCCAGTTTGTCCTCCCAGAGGCAGACACAGGCTGGAGCTGTCCCCAGAGCCCCAGCGAGGCTCCTGCCCATTTCCTCCACAAAGGACAGGGCTCTCCTGGTTCGGGCTGTGCCGCAGCCTCAGCACCATGGGGAAGGTGTGTGACAGCATCGGGGGAAGCCTGTCCCAGCTCTCCTCCTGCAAGGACTGCCATGGACAGGGGTGCTTCCTGCACCTCCCTGCATTCCTGCCATGGGAAAGATGTTTTTGGCCCTCACTCCTGGCTCAGGGCAGGGTGCAGAGCTTGGAGCACCACGGCAAGAGGTCTGATGGACCAGAGTGGCTAAGAGCACCATCTGCCACTGGCTGGCACAATAAATAGCCACTGCCTCAGGGCTGTCAGTCTGGAATATGCTTCCAGCTAGTACCTAAAGCTTCTCTCCTGCCTGGAGAATTACAAATCCTAAAAAGGCTACATTTTAACTGATGTCTCTTAATGAACTTGGCTGTGATTCCTTTCAACCTCCAAAGTTCTTCCCTGCACCTATTTCAGGGGTGAATGAAGAGCCCAATCCCTTCAATGGGACTCCTCCTCCTACCGATTTTGGTTCCAAAGTACTCAAGCTTTGCCTGCATGATTTGAGTTCTATTTTAAAGGTTCAGGCAATCTTAAGAACAACCTCAGCTATTTTAAACTACGTTAATTTGATCATACTAACCTACAGTTTGCAGGCTCAAAATTCAACATCCACAGCTAATGATGACTCACACTACTCATTTCTTCCTCGATTTTTTTTTGTCCTTTTTTTTTTTGGAAAACAAACCATCTCACAGCCTTCTGTATTACCATCTTGGCAGTTATGATTTATACAACCAGACATCTCAGACTTTCGGAGCTGGATGATCAACCAGGGGGTTGGATGACCAAACCAATTCCATTGGGGAATCTAAATTGGTTAGACTCATTGTTTATTATTTGATTTTCCCCTTAGGTCACAAACAGTCTGCTAGGGAACTGTAAATGAAGGTACACGCTGGCCTTGAGACAAAACCACCCACATTAAGTAAATTTAAATCAGTGCTTCCTCCAGGAAACAAAGAGTTGTATTACTTACAAGCAGATTTGATTACGGTTCAGAGAACTGTTTAAACACATCTAGCACATCAAAGGAAAACAGATTTAAGCTGCCGTGCTCATTGTTTAAGAAATACTGGTTGATTGATGCAAAGATCAACACGCTTGATGACTCCCTGTAACAGTTTTTATGGAAAACACAGGCCATTATAAAGATGGAAACATCCAGTTTCATCAAAAAAATCTTCAGATTTTAGATTTTGAATTAAGAGTAAGATATTTTTAAAATGTTAGAATAAGACTAAAATCAAATTCATTAAAGTAGTACAATAAATAAGTTCACAATACCATGTTGGCCTCTCTCTTCAAGGCCATAAAAACACCCATTAATCTCATCATCGAGAACACACCTAAAACACTTCCAAAACATCACAGCATCCAAGATGTCTTTATGCACATTTGTGGACAAGCATCCAGTAAACATGCAGATTCATACAGCAGCATGCAAACAGCCTAGCAAAGAAAGGGTTAAGACAAGAGAACATTCTCAAAGCAATTCAAATAATCCCTCTAGATCGTTCTGTATGAGAGAAGTATTCTATCTGGGAAGCTGGACTGGTATCAGTTTAGAAGTTGCTGCTGATCTGACACAAGCCAAAGGAACCAGCAAACTGCAAGGAGAAAGTTGCTAGATAAAAGAAAAACCCAAGAAACCCCACAACACTCAGAGCAGAAGGTCCATGTTAAGAATCATTTGGATCTCGTTTACTTTGCAGAAACAATTATTTCACTTTTAATTTGTAAGGGGTTTTGGGGGGAAAGGATGAAGGAAACATAGTTCATTCTGGCAGAGCACACATTGCACAAAATAGATTTAAGAATCTATTTTTGGGCTAGAATGGTTGAAGAAATCCCTGATTAGCGTCTTAATGGGGTGAGTCCAATTTATTGAGAATGATCACCAGAGGGAGTCATTGACTTTCCCATTAAAGTCAAAGGGAATTTTACATACATCAGGAATGCAGAATTTGGGGGCAGAGCTGAAAAAGACTTCAAACAGATTGGAGTTCAGGGAACAACACAAACCACGGTTTTATGGATTTCATCTGAATCCATTTTCCCCTTTGGAGTCCCAAAGGATGACGGCTATATTCAGTGGTTAAAATTAGACAGAAGGCACTGAAATCACTCATTCAGTGGGTACACACTCCCACAACAACAACAGGGGAAAAAAAAAACCCAACAAAAAAGCCCAAAAACACAAGCAAAAAAGAAACCCCAAGAAACCACCCACCCACCCATCACCTCAAAAAAAATCCCAACAACAAAAAATATCTCCTAAGCACTAAATTGGTTCTACAGGAGTTTGGAGTGGTGTAAGTAATAACTACTCTGTTTTCTCTTTGGACGTGTAACATATCAGTCCTTCTGGAAATGCAGAATTCAGCACAAAGGAAATCTCCAAGTGTCATTTATGAGAGTATGTCATACCTCTTGGGAATATCAGTAAAAGAAAGGAGTGAAATGGAGTCAGAAAGAATTGTTAGCATAGGATTTTTTTGTTTGTTTGTTTGTTTTATTTATTTTTTGGGGTTTTTTTTTGTCTTCAATGCTAGTGACTGAAAGAGGTAGAGAGTATAGGGATTTGTGAACAGTGACTAAACGAACTAATTAGACAAACCAGTGAATTCAGCCACAAGCAAGTGTGCATTTTATGCTCAAACACCTAAATTTCACAACCTTCAAGAAATATTTTCATTTTAAAAACTTGTCTTTTCTTGGTGGACTTCAGCAGAACCTTATGCTTGCCACAGAAGCCCAGGAGACTTTGGTTTGAAAACAAGCTCATTCACTCAGCAACTTTCTCCTTAATTCTGTACAAGATTGTATAGCAAAAAATTAGTTTTAAAAAGGGCAAGGCAACAGCCCCACCCAACCAAATGCAATTTCACTTCCCTAGAAATGCCCTCTGAACAAATGGAATTTAATTTGTTTCCATGTTCCCAGGTAATGGCAGCACCTTGTTTTGTTTGTTTATTTAATTACTTGTTCATGTAATTAGCTGACAGAATGCAGCCTTTTGTTGATTATAATACAGTTATTTGCATAGCTGTTTCCATTTTGAGGCTGAATTTTGGACAGAGGCTCTATTTTGGGTTGTGGCAGGCAGAGACACTGCTGGGAAGCCTCATGCAGGGAAGCATGCAGCAACCTGCTCCTTCGTGGAATGAGTTGCTCCAGGAACTGGCCTGGCTGCCCATCTGCTTCTGACAGCAAATCAAAGCCTTGTTTCCAGCATGCAGCATAAGACCTGGCTCTCTTTCATCGTCATAGGTATCATTGAAAACCAGTTGAGCTCATTCTAAACACCAACAGACTGTCCATGCATAATTTACTGTGCTTTGGATTGAATGTTAGGATAAATTTCTTCACTGAAGGGGTGGTCAGGCATTGGAGTGAGCTGTCCAGGGAAGTAGTTCAATCATCACCCCTGGAACTGTTCAAAAAACATGTAGGTGTGGCTCTTTGGGACATGGTTTAGTGGTGAACGTGGCAGAGCTGAGTTAAGGGTAGAAGACCTTAAGGGTCTTTTCCATCCTACATTGTTCTATGGTTCTGTGGCATCACTCAATGTATGCTTAATTTAAAACTATCAGTACTCTTTCAGTGGTTGGGTGAAAAAAAATTAGAGATGAAGGCTACTTTAGGCTTTCTTTCATGAACAGTTTGATTTAACATCCACTTGAGTCTATTGTTGTTCAAATAATTTTTTGCAGAGTTAAATTTTTTTTTTTTTAAAAAATAATCAAAATATATTCCCAGATCACAGTTTTGCAGAATTCTGACCCTTCACATTAATAAATGCAGCAATCATCACCCTTCAAGTCCTCTGAATTTCCAGCGGTGAACTGATGCAAGCTTAGTTTTATTATCTAGGTTGCTCAGAATTTGAGGAATCTGCACCTTATTACGAAAACGAGGGTCAGAGTTGGTGCTGGGGGGAGACTGCACACTCTGGTGCACAGAAGCCACCTTCACCTCATCCTCCATGCATCTTAACACTCACAAACCTCTACCTCTGAGGAGAAACTATGCACCAACACATCAATTTACACTGTTTTGAAATATAGAGCGTTGGAAGAGACAGCATGGAAAAATTGTCAACCTTTACCACTCAGCCTTCATGTACAACCCACTGCTCTGGTCAGGATTACCCCAGTAACCAAAAGCAGTAAGGCCCAGCCTTTTAACGGCACCGGTTTTAGTCCTACCTGTGCCATCTGCCGCTCCAGCTTTGAGCGGGGAATATCATCAAAATAGTTTTCATTTCTTCTTCTCCTTGCATCGCCCTGCATGATAATGTGGGGAACGTCCAGGGAGCCACCAGTAGTGAAAGTGCTTTGGCTAAGTGATGGAGACAACTGAGGAGGAGTGTGGTTACCACTGGGTTCCTGGACAGAGAAAGAGAAATGCAGCATAAGAAGGACAGCATATTGCTGACTTCAAATCACACATTTAAAAGTGCATTTGAATTGCTCACACTAAAAAAATTATGGAACAATTCCTTCAGTGGAGGTTATTGTGGATGAACTTTTGAGATTTGCTACCTGAAGTGCAGAGCCCATGTAGGAGGAAAAATAGTTCACTGATTACATGAACTAGTGGCATACTTCCTCCCCAAAACCTCCTTGTGTAATATATACTCTCTTCTAGAGATAAAGCAGTGAGCTACTTCTTGTCAAGGCCCAAATAAAGCTATGATTTAGGATTAGCTATTTGTAAGATGAAATACATTCTCCCCACTTCTGAGCAGCTGCTCTGAGCAGTGAAAATGATTTGAACGCTAGCAACACCTCTTGCTGGAAAAAAGAAATGTTTGTCCATTTACACAGTATAGACATTTTGTTGCAATTTTTATAGCAGGTTTCGCAGAACATCCATTTTAACTTGAAGTACCAGATATCAGACACAAGCTAAATACCAATTCCTGGAATGCATGAAAGCATCAGAGTACAAATATTTCACCTGGCTTTCCTTGTTTCCTCTACTGAACTGTAACCTTGTATCAGTCAGTGTGCAAATACATAATACATGTGTGATACACAAACACCACCTAATAAACCAACAGGTCCTCCTGGTATACGTTTTAGCAGGATCTGCCACCACACACCACAGCCAGACATGGTGTGCATGTTTGGAAACATCGGCTCCCACGCACATGGCATCACTCGTTCAAGCAGCAGCTACAAACATCGGTGTCTGGGTGCACCGCTGCACACTCCCCTGGAGCCCCATCAGCAGGAGCAGTGCTGTGCAGTGAGCAGGAGAACACTGTCACAGCAACTGGGTGGGAAATGTTCCTCCCTCGTGATGCGGGCTCCCGGGCAGAACGCAGCCAGGAGCACGTCTGCGCAGAGCAGGCCTTCTCTAAACCACCTGCTGCTGCAATGCTCCAGTTCAACACTGAGCAGCAAGAGGGGACCTGCAGATGGTGCAGCAAGAAAAAAACCTGATCCAGTGTGGAAGGAAAAAAAGTTCTGCTTTTTTATTTAAAAAGAGAATTCAAGTGGATGATTCATGCATTATTACATTGAAGTAAGCCCAGTTCTGAAAAGCATCAAGGTACTTTACTCCACGTTGTTAAGAAACAAGATCTGGTGTAAGGAATCAGAGAGTTGTAATCTTTACCAAATGGAAAGTTCAAGTCATAATAATGCCTGGTGTCAATATTTGATGTGTAGGAGTCTATGTGACATTATTCCTTGCAATCACAGTAATGGATTAGTATTTTTTATGTTGCCAATTTTTCATGTTGAAAATATAGCTCTAGCTCTTCAGTATTTTTTAATTAACTGGGATTTTTTAAAATTTTTTTTTTAATTCTCTAGCTTTCCTATGATCTGAGACGAGCACTTGACATTTCCCAGGGCAAAGAAAAGAGCGTTTCCTCTTAGAAATAATATTTTCCCTCCTTCACAAAAATCCACCTACATTTGGTCCAGTTAAAAGCTTCTGAAAGTAGTCTGCACACGCTCAGTAGGTTTGGTGAGGCATAATCTCTAAAATCCTCCCTCCCTGGACCTAACAACATGGTGTACACACCTCTGCTCTGAAAATAACCTGAGTATATGGGCAACAAACAAGATCCTCTTTAGTGAGTGCTACCTGCTGCTCCAGTCAAGTGGGTAACCTCTCTCTGCTCTGAATCAGGATTCACCCACTGCTGCAGGCTGACAGGGCCACCAGTGTATCCAAGTGACAGATGAACATAGAGGTTCCAGCCCTCATCGAACTTTTCATATTTTATCAAAGTGCATATGAGGAGGAAATTCACTCAAGATCTATATTGGAAGATTGCTGGCAAGGCAGTACAGGCAAGAAATACCAACTCAAGAAATAAAAGAATTACTGTGCCTCTGCATTATGGAACAGTATGTCATTGTATGATTTTATGCTATTTTCTCAAAGTTCTCCTTCACAGCACAGATGGATATTCAACTGTGCAGTGTTGTCATCTACTCAGCACAGTGTTATCATTAGTTACCGTGTAGTCAGTATTTTATTCTCGTCTCGTTTCATGGCCCCAAACCTCTCTCCTAAACTCTTTTCAAATCCTGCTCTGAAGAGAGGATGATTAATATTGTCATAGTCATGATGCTCGTAAGCACTTTACTAATGCCAATCAATTAATTTTCACCACACCTGTGACTTCTGGCATTTTACAATCACTGCTTTATGTGGGTGACCTGAGACACACAAAGGTTAGAAAGTGGCAGTCACTCAATTACAACATCTACTGCTCGATTTCCCAAGTGCTTGAATTCCAAACTCCACTTCTGTTGATCTAATTTTCAGCACTGTGTACACAACACTTGTATAAATTAGACTCAAGACTCCAGTCAAATACTTAGCTTGTCAGTGACATACAATTAGTGACTGTTTAGGAGGCAATTAATTAAATAACTTGCCATGAATTATCCAAGTTTTTTGTGGCAAAAATAGGTGTAAGTCTATAGTTTCATAGGTAGAGCTATTCCTTTAATTGTGAGCCTCTATCCCATTCTTCCTTCATTCTTCTTCCTCACTCCATACCCACCTTCCCATCTTCTTAAACAAACCTGCAGACCAGGCAGGGACACCCTTGCAGGTGCTACCATGGCCTCAGTACCACGCTACTGTTTGTCACCAGGTACTCATCTCGTGTTTCTACCCAGCTGTGGATGCAAGGACACATGACCTGCAGGGATGTCTGATCACATATTTCACTCTCAAAATCTGCCCCATCCCCTCTCAGACCTGCTGCTCACGTACACCATGAACCACACAGGTCAGGGCTGGAAGGAAGCTTAAGAGATCCTTCCCCAAGCTGCCTGGGCACACAGATGTTTGTCTAACCTTTAACCAGGAATTCTCTCCAGTGAACTAATTCTTGTGTTAAGATATCATTACTATTGCAACACTTTTTCTCCAAATTTTCTGCCAAAATTTTTGGTCCTTCAGCTTAAATTCCAGCCTCCAGTGCTGACTGGGTGAGGGAGGGCTCCCATGACGAACATGGAAACTGTCCTATAATTAAAGTTTATCATGCACTCAAGGAAAGAAAGAAAGATTGCATAGATAACCTGAGCTCCAGCAATTTCTATTTTTTAATAGAAAAATACATTTGTATAGTGTGTGTATATATACATGTAATATATAACATATATATATTTGAATACAGTATATTTGAAATCAAAATAGTGTTTCCTTAGTACACAGTAACATACAACAGGGAATAACATATATTGTGGATATTTTTAGATTTTGAAGAATTTTTGCTTTTCCTTAATATTTATATTATTTTAATTAATAATTAATAATATAATAATTAATAATTATATTAATAATTAATAATTATATTAATATTTTTCCTCAATATTCCAAGCTTGAGCTTGGGAACTTAAAAGTAAAAACTACCTTTTCTACTGATGTAGAGCAGCCTGATCTAGTGGAAAGTGCTCCTGCCTATGGCAAAGAGGGTCGAAACTTGATGATTTTTAAGGTCCCTTCTAATCCAAACTGTTCAGTGGTTCTATATAAATCAATCTTACAGCAGCAGCAGCAGCCAGCTTATTTAAGCCAATTTTCAAGATACAAATTATTGCAGACTACAAACTAAACACTATGTCTTTGTTTCATGTGAAATGGCATAGTTGCAGTCGATGGGAAAGAAAAACTTTATTCCAAATGCATGCCCTCCTCTTTAGGATTCTCTGTGAAGACTCCAATTCCAAGAGGTGATAAATGACATTTAGCACTGGCCCGCATCAGTAGCTCTAGCTGTGCAGCAGCAGACTACTTTTTATCATTTTGACTACAGATGGAGGACATCCAGCTTTCCCTTCCCTTCCCTATTAACTGAGAATATACAGTCCTGACCAAGAATGTGGACTGTGGACACTTTCCCAATTACTGAGGAGGAATTAATTATCCAGTCCAGAGTACTGAAGGCATTTAGCAAAAAAGTCTGCCTTTTTATCTATTTCTCTCCTTGGAGTGTTTTAACACCTGACATGCATCAGGAATCATTCACAAAATACATAAAAAATAAAATACAAGAAAAATATCCACACATTTCTGCAATGTGCCTTAGAGCACATTTCAGATTTGTCAGACCTTTTTAAATATGGCATTGGGAATAGGTTGAATTAAGGGGTCAGATCTAAAATGTCTGTATAGGGCATCTGAGAACAGGCAGGGTGAAAACAGGCTGGTCACAGAAATTTTAAGTACAATTAAAAATAAGCCCTCATTCTGTCTTTCTGTATTTCTCTTTACACCAGGAAATTTAGCTTGGGAGCACAGATACTCTCTGACATTTTGAAATTTAATCCCAAACAAGATTCCCGTCAGAAATGCAGCCCCATGGAAATAATGAGATCCAATCAAATGCAAAAGGTGTGACCTAAAATATCAAAATAAAAATGCTGCTATGAACTCTGTTGGAGAGAATGCAGTAGGAAGTGGCCATCAAACGACAACTTGATAAGTGTAGCAGACAACAAGTAAGCAAAGGCATTGGATTGGAGAAACCGAGTGAAGGTGGTGTAATGAGAGGAGATTAAATGTGGTCAAGTGTGGAAAAACCCAGGGACATTGCAACAGGGTTTCTGAACGAGGGAATACAAATGGAAATTAAAAACATGATGAAACTTTTGATATACAGAGACACCTTAATGGCATTTTTATCTCAACAATTTCAAGAGGTTCCCCTTAAAGAAAGCCTAAAGCATATGTCTGAAAAGTAAGTGCAAACATTCGAAAACATGAAAGGAAATTGGTAACTCTCCTGCAATATTGATCAGCTGGGCTGGGATTCCTGTGGGCAAATGAAGATGTGCATCTTTTAAATCCCTGGTCCTGAGCTAGTTTCTTTAGCAAAGATAAGCTGGTACTTCTAAGATTCTCCTTATCTCATCCTAAGGCAGACATCTGAAACAGGTCACATGGATCACCCTGTAAAAATGCCAACGTATTTCTGCTGGCCCATCAGCCTAAGATGTCCATAATCTACAACTCTCAAGTAAGGTAAGTTGAACCCCACTCAAAGTACCCATTGTTCTCATGTGAATGTTATGAAACCCTTGCTGACTTGTCAAGAAATGCAAACAAATTTTCATGGGGACTCACCCTGAGGGTTATTGACCGAGGTGGTTTCTGAGGAGGATCTTCGTGAAGTCTGTCTCCCAGAGATGCCAGAACACGCTTCCGGTGGCCAATCAAGCTAATTTTTAAGACCTGAAATAATATCAAAAATACATCATTAAAAGAGCACATGGCAATCATTGCATGAAGATCCATTCAGAATGAAGACATTTTCTGTTTAAACCTTGTAACAAGTCAGTCCTCTAGACAGGCTGAGCAGACACGGAGCTGTGCAAGGCAAACAATCAGCAGAGAAAATGAGAGGTGAGATAAGAGGAAAAACACTGTAAAATGAAGGAAGAAACTAGAGCTTATATAGGTGTGGAAAACTGAAAAAAAACAGGCTCAAACATGAGTAAAGAGGAGACAAAAATGAAATGGAAAGGCAGAAGAGCAGGAAGAAAAAAAGGGAAGGGGATGAGAAGACTGGAGAAGGAAATGCAAAGGTGCATACAAACAATGAGTGATGAGGATTAAAGTGATTCATGGGATAGATGAGGAAAAGAGTGAGAAACAGCCAGTGAATGCTTAGAGGAGGCAAAAAGGGAAAAAAGGGATTGTGAAAGACTAAATGTTACCACTTTTAAATCTATTCACCATGTCTTTCCCAGTGCTGCTAGGAAAGGGTTAAAACTGCAAAATTTGGCAGGGGAGGAGGGAATAGTCTCTCTCAAAGTGACCTTGCAGCTGGGAATCCTAAAATTGTTGGTGTGGGAAAACTCCATTTATTACGTCTAATGTTGTTCATCCTCTGCCTGTTTTGAGAAGTGGAAGTCCTGTGGAGAGATAACCGGCTCTCACAGACATGGGGGAAGCCTTGTATTATAGAGAGGCAGGAGCCCTCCCCTCCTGCCAGCTAGAATGGAGCCATGTCCCTGTCCCTCTGTCACATGGTGTGGTTAGCAACGTAATGAAATAAATCTACCCTTTGCATTTTGGCTGTGGTTTGAGGATTGCCCTTGGTTACCTGTACGTGTAGGTTCACACACACAGGTAATCTCCAAATATGTCATACAGTTTGTGCTATCATGTAGAATCATCCTTATGTAAGAAAAACTGGGTGGACAAATTTTACGCTGGAGTTTTATTACGCTTTTTATCAGACACAAAATCTCTGTTGCACAGAAACGCGTCCATCAGTGGATACATTCACATACCTCGTGCTTGTCCAAACTCCAAGAACACTGCCAAAAAAAGTTGTCCCAAATTTACAGCAACTACTCCTCATTTTTTATTTTTGCGTGTCCCTAACTTGTACAAAACCACCACTGCTCTCAGGAAAAGTGAGGGAGCAGAAGCAGTGAGTTGGAAATTTAAAGTATTAGTGGGAAAAATAACATATTTCAAAGCTATTCTTTAATGGCTACAATGGCTGTAGTGGAAAGAGTGTATAGCAGCACTGATTGTAGCAGCAAAGCCTCTGCTCTGCAAACAGCAGTGTCCTTACATAACTCCTCCAGACTGTACATGTGGTTTCATACTCCAGAGCTGCTTCCAATCCCTCTCAGAAAACAGTACTTCCCACTATATTTAGGACCACCGTGTGTCAACACCCTTCAGTTGAGAGGAAGTTCTTGCTCAACCTAGAAAAAGTAATAGTCCCCAAAAAAAACTGGAAATGCTACATCTTTAGTGAACAATTACCTCAGCTTAAGCGGTAGCACTGAGAGCTACAATTCATGAGAACATCACTACCCAAACCCCAGCAACTCCCCTGCTACATCTCTTGGATCCAGCATCTCAAAATATGGTACAGAAACATGCTGTCATTATTCTGGTATCCATGCCTATCCATCCATTATCCTGCCTATCCACGTGCATGTGAATCTATCCACATTTCCTCTGTTAGACGTCTCTGTGCTGATACTGTTGAACATCAATAACCTCTTTTCTGCCTGCATCTCCAAAGTGATGGGCTATGACATCAAGCAGATGGAGGCCTTCCTCTGAGAGGCAGCTTACAGGGGTGTTGCAGACCCTGCAGCTCAGCAGGGAACGCAAGCTGCAGTCCCACAAAGCACCCTGCTATGTGCTATCCTTTCAGTCTAAATCTAGAGAAGCACGAGTGAAGCTGAGATAATGCAGCACACAGAGAAACGCCTGAGGCATGCAGGAGACTTAGTTATGTATTCAGTTTACACTGAGTGTTAAACAGAAGGGTGCACAGTTTATCTCTGTATTTAACTATATGAAACACGTGAATGAACTACAGCTGCTTTAAGCATTACTCAAGTAATGCACTTCAGTGAACTTGCTTCTTTCATAATGCTTCCCCATCAACAAGATCATTTATCCTGAGATTTTTAAGCCAAGCTAAAGTTCTTTGGGTTGTTTCAAGGTCCTCAGCACTCTGACTGCCTTATTAGCTATATCAAACCACACAAAGCTATTCTCTCTTCACAGGGAGAGAAAAGGACATGATTCTTGAGGGACTGCACACATAAAAGATCAGCAGACGGGTCTCAATGACTAAATTATTTCAAAAACTGTTCTTAATTTGAAAGTAATACAGATCTTTAAATACCATAGGCACTGCTAAGCTTACTCAAACATTTTGTTTTTCTATTATAATGGTGGTTGCCCCAAATGTGAATGGGAGGAAGTTAACGATGCAACCTACAGAAACATATGGTTCCCAGGCACCAGGCAGCTGCATCCCAGAATCATCTGGAGCACATATTCCTTTAACTGAAGACAGCTGTATTCTTCTGGAAATGACTCCCTAGCCATTTCCTCACTTGGAAAACCTGCTTCTCAACTTACAAATGTAAAATACTGTTTTCTGAAACACTTCTATATTTGAGTTATGAGGGCTTAACAAACATCCTGAGACTCTGGAAACTCGTCCTGTGATGAATTATCCTTGACAGTATTTATAAAAAATGTCAAATATCACAAATATAGGTCAACAGTGTGGAATGGTACAACTGCCTAAAGCAGTACCATAGAAATGTGTTAATGTTGAAAGTCTTGCATTTAAACAGCCCACAAGTCAGCTTTCCTGGTATGTAATTTCTATAAATCAGGTGACAGTGAACACCACAACACTGAACTAACACTGAATAAGGACAGTCAATAGAGTGCACCTAAGTATCATGCAGCGAGGCATTTTGTCAAATGGACTGTAGCCCACTTACTATACAACAATGAAATGGGTTTTGCAGTGTGGCTGCAGGAATCAGCAACAACGTGTCCTCAAACTGTTCAGAGTAGCTCAAGGCCCTCCACAGCATGTTATTTCATTACTGGGACAAAAGGGGAAAAAAAAAAAAAAAAAAAAAAAAAAAAGCATGTACATGACATGCTTCTTTCCACACTGATGGCAGGATACCTGAGACAAAAATGATACTACTACATTTCATGTATTTGATGTTGTTGTTTGTTGATTCAATTAAAAGAGAATGGGGCAAGTCGTTCATCCAAAGCATTGACACATGCACAAAAATTTAATCTTATTTTTACTCCTGTACTCTGCAATGATTAGCATACAAAATTAAATTCCACTAGGAAATGCAAGAAATCCACAAATATAACCAATGCAACACTTTACATTTAGATCTCTGGCTTAGTTGACAGATGTTTCAAAAAACACACGTAGCCCAATAACTCCCTGATGACTGTGTATGTGCAAATGCTGGAATTAACAAGTTATTCCACCTAAAATGAGCATTATTTCTGCTACGTTCTCCTGCCTGATCTTTTCTCTAATTGAATAATAATATTCAATACTGTATGATTCTACTTTTTTTTTTTTTTTTTTTCCCAGAATATTAGAAACGTTACTGAAATTCAAGACATTAATTCTCCTTCTTTTGGAATAATGTGAAAAAAAATTTTTATGGGCTAAAATTAGGATCATAATAGCACAAGAGGTCCAGACTAAATGTGTAGCAGCAATTGGACACTAGGAACCAAAGTACAGAACTAAACCAGGTACAAAGTATAAAATTAAAGAGTGATCCAAACAGTGCTCGTGATTCTCCAGTAGCAGGATCAGACAAATTCAAGAAAAAATTGTAAATGCAAGCCAAAAAGTGGGATCTTCTTATTTCTGCAAGAATACAGCCCAAAATACTTGCTAAAATCAATATTATTAACCATATTACTGCTGGTCATATTGGAATAAACTCCAAGATATCTGGAATTACAGATGAAGGGATAAATTTGATTATTGCCCCTCTCCTTCCACAACACGGCCCCACAGAGCTAATCCTGAAACATGGCAGGGCCCAGAATACCCAGGAAGTGATCCCAGATTAACCATACAGCTCACCTGACCAACGGGATTGGTTTAATTGAAAATCTGAAAAAGAATTAAATATATTTATGGTATAAATTTTCAGTATCAATTTTACAGATCCTATCCATTGAACTGCTGTCAGTGTTAACAGCTAAAACAAGCATAGAGACAAATAAAAAAAGATCAAAAAACTCTATATTCTGCATACCAACCAAGATTACTTGGTGTAATAATTGGTATAGTTTGAAAATTAAATAGGCCCAAGTCAGCTATGATACTTAAAGAGGGTAGGTTTAGATTAGATATTAAAAAGAAATCATTTACAATGATAGTGAGGCACTGGAACAGGTTTCCCAGAGAAGTTATGGATGTCCCATCCCTAGAAGTGCTCCAGGCCAGGCTGGACAGGGCTCTGAGCCACCTGAGCTAGTGTCAGGTGGCCCCCATGGCAAGGGGCTTGGAACTGGGTGCTCTTCAAGGTCCCCTCCAACCCAAACCACTCTGTGATTCTATGAATGCCCAGTGGCTTTACAAATACCAGGCAAAGCCAAATCCAGTCAAGCCATATTAGACTTCTATTGCATTCTTCACACGGGCATACTTTATGCTCCTGCTCAACACATGGCAACAGAGAAGCACCAAAGCATCCTGCTGGTCAGAGGCTTGCTGCAGCTTCTCTGGTGTCCACAACTGCAGGGGAAGCTAGTGCTTATTATGCCTAGGAAAACACCTGTAAGATACTTACCATTTCATATCATAGTGATTTCATATCATAAGGATATGAAATATGCGTCACAATCCTCTGGAATTAATTACCCAGCTGGAAAGAGATGCCAGTTGTCTTGATGACAGC